TAAATGCTTCTGGAACCGTGAGACAGAATTAGAGCTTGACATTCATGGGTTACGGGAGGAATGGCTTTTCAAAGCTGAGAAAAATGGTCCCCTTACAGGCAATGTAGATGATGTGATGGAATATGTTGACAAAAGACGTTGTGGGGAATTGTATGCTCATAAGTGTTCAGCTAGTTGTCAAGAGAAAGGTAGTTAAAAAAATTATACAAGTATACAATTTTAAACCTAAACAGGAGCACTTTTGAAAAATACAAATATAGGCCCTCTGGTAGGACTTTAACATGTAGAATTGCAGGGCCGCACAAACACCGACTATGATAGAATAAGCTCACCATCCATATCTTTCCATCCTTAAAAATTTACAATCACTCTAGGATGTGGGAAGCTCTATGTTGCTGATGGCAACTGGAAGCTTAGATATGCTCACTGTATGTGGAAAGTGCCAATTGAGATTGAAGGTTTTGGTAGTGTAAACTATCCCAGAATCTGTCCTCTTTCACCACAACGAGGCCATGCCTTCTGTGGGGACCACTGTAAGAAGGCTCAGGTTTTGGGATATCCATCAAAGACAAAAGAATTTTTTGAAAGATGTGGAATTGTGGACTCAACTGTGGAAGAAGGTGATTTTTAATTGTTAACTATTACCCAATGAGCCTACTTTAATATACTATTTTACTTTGTCCAATGCCAGACAATTTTACTCATCAATGGAATAATACTGGCAGAACGTTTCCTCGAGTATACAAAAAATCTCCCTATTACAAAATTTGGCAGGGTCACAACAGCAGCATATTACCAAATAGTGTGGGCCCACAAATAAAATTCCCAGTAGTAAAATTCCTCAATTCCTGCATGTATTCAGTATATTGGACATTATGTGTATGTTGAATTTTGGTCTAGGATATTATAAATAATATTTGAATTCTATTTTGTTGAAAATATGCTTCTGTCAGTTCACTCTAAAATTCTTTAATAGGAGTGAGGTAGGATGGCTGATTCTAGGCATGCTGTACAAGTTTTTACTAAATCTATTTTTTTTCAGCATTGGATGAAATGTCTTCAAAGCCTTTATTGTCAGGTTTGATTAAAATTGCAATTTCTAAATTTTGCTGCTTGTCCATCAACAATTTTTCAGAACACCAGTTTAAATAATTAATGTAATTACCAAATAGCACTCCACTCTCCAGTCTAGTACCTTTATCTGATGCTAAAGTCAAACAGAACATTTTAGAAACATTTTTTTGCATGATTTTTGGTAAATGAGTAAAATGAAATGCTATGCCTATAAACGGCAATTTGTTGTGATCATTCTCTTGGTTACTTGAAGTACTGTATATGGTAATTGAGTGAGAAGACTATTATGAATACTTAATTTATGCTCTATTTGTAGATGTCTCATTTGAAGCTGTCAACAATTACCTTGATACTGTGGCAAAGCATTCAAGTCCATCAAGCAAGAATCTGGCTAATGCCACTACGTTTCAAGGTACCGTACTGTAAAGTGTAATATTTTAAGGCAATGTTTGATATGGATGAAGATGATTTTCAGACTTTTAGCCATGTCACATCACATGCTTCTTTCAGGAACAGAAGAATTTATTGCAAAAAATCCAAATTTCTTGGAAATCAAAGAAGCAGAAGAAAAAGCCGCAGGTTTTATTTGCAATAAGGACACAGGTGGATTGAAAACCTTCCACTGTTGGTCCAGGGGAATTTTCTTTATAGTCAGCGCGGGTGGACATATAGAATACTGGCAACCTTTGTACAGGTACTGTACAATGAAACTAAATACCGTCAAACATTTTAGGAAAATATGGGATGAAAAAGCATTGATCTTATGCACTTGTCATCGGAAACACCCCCCCCCCCCCATAGATCATCTGACTAAGTCAAACCTCTGGCCATTATTTTTGTTGTTTTAGATCGGAGTCGCCAACGCAAGCGTACCTCATAACAATTTTGTGGCTTTATGGAAAATTTAAACATTTAATTGATGCTGGATGGACCGACGATGCTATTCGTGATGAGCTATCGTCAATAGTCCTGGCTTATGACAACATGTGCCATCTCGATGGCTTGCTTGTATCAAAAAGGAAGTTACCTCTTCCCAAACCATTTGACGAGGCTTGGGAATGCATTGGAAAATGTATTGACCGTTTACACTTGCGTAACCACGTTGATCCAAAATGTAAGGAGCTGTATGATCCAGATGACAAAGTCCCCAAGGGCTACAACACAATGGCTTGCGAACAAACATTCATTTGGGCAAGTAGGTACAAGAGAGTCATGTGTGCTATGCCTCACCTTCACCAGTTTTTCTTTTTACATCGACTGGTACAATACAGGAACAGATACACAGAAATATGTCATGAAAACCGGAAAATACCAATCCTCCCCAAGAAATAAACATTTACTCGTGGTGTAAAATTATTGTTGCTCTTCAATAATGTTATATACAGATTATATAATCTGGGTTCCTCAAAAAAAAACTATAGTATAGGCGAGTATAGCCTGTTTGATTTCCTGTAACATGAAAACCATAAAAGCGGAGGGTTTAAACTGCAGGTGTGCAGGTTGCAGGTGTGATATTCTAGTACAAGATCAAAACTTGACATTCATGAACAGGTGTGTAGCACGCAAAACATTTTATCACTTGTCACTCTTTGCGAGAAACGTCCACCATATTTAATTCTTAACTCAAAAACACCAGATATCCCATATTATCAATAGTTTCCCGCCAAAACATGTGGTCACAGACTGAGTAGGTACATAGTAGGTACATATAGTAGGTACATGGTAGGTACATATAGTAGGTACATGGTAGGTACATAATACCTACTCTGTGATCACATGTTTTGGGAAAACTATTGGTAATAGGGATATCAGGTGTTTTTGAGCTAAGAATTAAATATGGTGGACGTTTCTCGCAAAGAGTGTCAAAATCAATTATAAAAAAGAATTCAAAGTTAGTTAAGATAAAATTTTTTGCGTGCTTCACACCTGTTCATGAATGTCAAGTTTTGATCTTGTACTAGAATATCACACCTGCAACCTGCACACCTGCAGTTTAAACCCTCCGCTATAAAAGTTATTGTGCTGACGTAAGTTAAAATTGTACTCACAAAGAACCAATTTTGATATATAACATTTCATTTTCCGTCCAATACAGTATTTCACTGCACTATTGTCTATTGATGTGTTAAAGTTGCACTACCATTTTTGAACATGTCCAAATTAGCGAAAAACGGCCTATCAAATTCCCGTTTTCGTAAAATAGGATTGTTTTATTTGATACATATACAGGGTGTATAAAAAAAAGCGCAATCCTCGACTGAAATGTAAATCGCTAAACAAATAATAGACAAAAACGTTAAAGTTTACATTCATTTTAAAGCGTAGCCATTCAGCTTTCTAACAGTGGGTTGTTTCTTAAATTTGACTCATTGGTTCGCGGGTAATAATACTTTACGTTATTGCGATTGGAGATTAAAAAAATTGAGATGGAATAACAAATCGTTCTCATGAAAATAACTGATTTTTTCATTCAAACAAAAAAATGTTGCATTTTATTAAATGATTGTAACAATAAGTATAATTACGGCTTTTCTTCCACTATTTTTAACTCAGTTTGAAACTTCAAATGCGATATAATTTTGGCTGACTGACATCAAGTTGCTATAATTTCTGTTTACATTACATCGCAATTCGATGACACTCTGGCTCAGACACCAGAATGTTTTGACGATTTTTAGCATTCGTTTAGGATTTTCAAACAACCTGGTCTCTTTTAAAATACTTTTAATTTGTTCTTACGTGGTTTTCCAGATGTAGTGACGACAACATTAAAGTTTAAAGAAGAAAATTCTAACATTTAAACCGACTAAACAATAACATAGTAAACTTGCATAATTAAACAGCAACTAAAAATGATAGGTTTTACTAAATCTTTTCCTGTGCAATTATTACTAGCATTGGAGACAATGATAATAGTTTGTTTGAAAGAGAAAAGAACAGGCTTTGAAGTAAGCCTAAAAGAGTTTAACTAGAAATAGTATTTCGAAAGTTATTAAGCACAAAAGATGAATTGCGTTTATTTTGATACACCCTGTATAGTACAATAAGATTGTTTTCTATCAGTTGAAAATAAACAATCCTATTGTAAATATATGCGTTATTTTAACCAGAATAAATATATTTCACAAGTTTTAAAACTAAACGGGTTTTTATGCTAATTTTTGAAAATATCAATATAGTACAGTCGACATTTCAATATTACACAGAGAATGAAATGTTATATATCAAATCTAAGTTGGCCAGTTTTGAATACAATAAAACTCTAATAGTTTTCACGTTACAGGAAATCAAACGGGATATTATTTGTACACCCGGTAGTTGCGAACAAATGCAAATGAAAATAACTGAAAATTTGAAACATTAACATGTATAGTGTGTTATAGTGTCTATAAATATTCTCAGTTTGGGCCCAAAAAATATTACCGAGAATTGAATGTTTACAATTTTATTGAAGTCATTTTAAAAATATTGTGAATTGTTTGTCTCTTGATTATTTGCCGATGTCGAATGTTGAGAAACAGAGATGCTAAGTTCCACCAATGAAGCACCTGGGGCTTGGAAACCTTATTTCCCTTATTCTGATTTCTGAAGACAGTTTTGATAAAAAAGTAACCTCATAATTAGACAGTGACGCAATTACATTTTTTTAGTTCAATCGCAAAACCTTGTCCTAGGCCTCGTCACCAACAAAACCAAGTTCAATAATATTTTAATAATCTTGATTTACCTAAGCTTGAAACTTCTGCAAAGGAACGAACCATCTTGTATCAGTGCTTCTTTAAGTGTTATGCCAGCGCAGCTGCAATGCAACCATTGACTACAGCCCTGGCATTTTACCATGCCTTTTCTCCTTTTTTTGTTTGTGCATACTGAGCAAACATTTTTGCTCCCAACCATTTTATCGGACTTTCGTTTTTTCAATACATCTAACAAGCATATAAAGGAGAAACTATTAATATGAAATATGAATTATATTAATTAAACTCATATCAACAGCAATAATAATAATAGTAATAATAATTTTTAATAATAATAAGTAAAAGTTTGCATCATAATCAATCAAGGTACCTTACCTTCATTCACATTGTCTTTGATATCACCATCGAGTGATATCCCTGCAGAAAAATAAACACATACGTACGTTTACTATTTTTGCCCAAGTGAATATAACAAATCTTATGCAAGTTGGGCAAATTTGACGTATTAAGGCTGTTATATTCATAATATACATAATTTACATACAAGTGAACACAGACTGCGAGCGGTCACTCCTATCCACGGGTTTAGTCACCGGGTATCCTGATAGTTATCTCGCCTTCGGCGAATAATTATTAAATAATTATTAATTTTGGGCCCGCAGTAATTGGCAATAAGCTCTTGCGGTGTCCCGGCCACTCTGTGTAATTTTATGCCGGCAAAGTTAATAAATAAATAAAAATGTTAGCTATTGACATACATAAAAGGTAAATAATAGCAGCCTGTAGTTTTGGAAAATTTTGTATTACCTGAATCATTTAAAGATTGGCCTTGGGAATTCTGTGCACACGCACTTGTTCCTGTTTCGTCAGCATCTATACATGATTGATAATAAATTATTACCACACTATATTTTGATCGTTACATGTCTTTCATATTGTATATTAAGGAAGCGCAATACAGTTTTTTGTGGGATGGATAATTCATGATTTAGATCCGTACTTTTTGGAAAATTTATTGTTTGTTAAAAAACAAAAAGTATCTCAAAACAACATTTAAAAAGTTTGGATTTTTTTTCACAAAAGTTGCACAACTGCCGTTGCTATGGCAGCATACACGTTTCAAGATGGCAGATACTTTGGCTTTAAATAAACATGACAACGGCAGTTGCGCAACTTTTGTCAACAAATGCAAACCCTTTAGATGTTGTTTCACATCAATAAGATATACTTTTTTAAACACAAATAATGATTGTCAAAAAATACGGGTCTAAATCATAAAAAACCTTATGTTTTTTATTCAACAAATCTTAACTAATGTATGACTTACACACCTTCCACAATGCTAGAAATAGCTTGAGCAACACTGCCACCGTTATTGCGTTTATCATTAATTTTATGACGGCCACTGCTCTTTTCAATTTCGTGTTTTGCTCCCTGAAGTTTTTCACGCAATGTCTCTATTTCTTTTGTTGCATTTTTGCATTTTTCACGTAGTTGTGTCACCTCTTCTGTAAATGAAATCCTTTGACGTTCTTTTTCCTTCACTTTCACCTGGAGATCGGCAGTGATCCTACGAATCTTTGTTTCATATTCCTTTTTCACGTCATTGATTTCTCGCGAATGGGCCTTGTTCATTTCATCAATCTCTAGTCTCTGGCGATTGCATTCGAGGCATTCATCTTTTTGAAGCTCTTCTGGTTGTTCGATTTCGAAAACTATATAAAAAGTATGTAAAAAATGTATATTGATTCACAGCTCATTCAAAAAATAGGTACGCCAGGCGTATACGTATGTGTGCTTTGTGATACCGGATGCTGCAGTGATATGGCAACTACACACGTAAAAACGCACAAGTTTGTTACAAGTCTGTTCACAAGCTGTAAACAAGATGTATTCACACTGCTTGTCACAAGTTGTCAACAGGTTTGGAACAACTTGTTGACAACTTGTAACAACCTTGTAGAAAGTCTGACATGCTTCATATAACAAGATTGTTACAACCTTGTGTTGACAACCTTGTAACATCCTTGTTATATCATGGCTGTAACAAACTTGTTAGCACAATCTTGTAACAAGGCTTATAATGCCATCAAGCTTGTTACAAGTTGTTAACAGCTTGTTTCAAACTTGTTACAATAGACTGGGAACAAGCAGTGCGAGCACAACTTGTTGACAACTTGTGAACAGACTTGTTTGCAGACTTGTTACAACTTGTGCGTTTTTACGTGTGTAATTAACGCGAAAATGATTTATTGCACACGTGTGGAGAAGGCGCATGCAATGTTCACGCCAGGAGTTTGCTAGTATATGTATACAAATACTTACGATCATCAATTTGAGCCAGCAAATCTTTGCTAAAAACGTGGCGAGGAACTTTTAAGCAGCTTACTTTCGTTGGCTTACCAACGAACGTAGACTTGAATTCTTCTCTGCGCCCGGCAATTTGTGCAACAAGCTCACGTACGTTGGCGTCACTTGGTCGATCTTGCAGTTCACCCTTTGCAATCACATCCAACGCTTTGTGAACAATAAACACCATGAAGAGTTGGCCACTCCTCTTCGCCTTAACTTTAGGTCTCATCCACTGACCTACCTATAAAACAATGTAAGCTAGTTAGCCATGTCCAAGACTCAAATTTTGTTTTTTTTACATAACTATTAATTTATTTAACTTTCCAATCACATATAAACACTTAGTAACGTAAACAGGACATAACAATACATTACAAGCACAATTATTTCGTATTTGTCATTTAGCCTGATATTTATATAATTAAGCCTTTCATCCAAGCAAAAACATAAATTTGGTTACATTTTCATCAAAAAACGATCAAAACAACAACGATATAGAGAATACAGCAATTTGGTCTTGCTTTTGGTAGCACGAATGGTAATTTATAAGCGAGCCTAGTGTTTTGAGAGTGTATAATGTTAGCATGGTATACTTGTTGTCATACTTACTTCATCCTTCGTTAGATTAAGTTTTTCGACTGCTAACATCACTTGACGAAACACATCATCAATAGTTGTGAATGTTTTGACACTAACATCATAAATTCCACGAACGTAGGGAAGGAAATCGTTTTTTAAATAATTGTCGAACGTTACATCTGAAATGATTTCCTCGTCATCCACCAGTTGAATGACCTGCATAAAAATATCAATAAGATTACAAGTTGTTGTAAATGGCAGCGCAATTTAATATTTGCAGCATGCACTGTTAGCACTTAGTTTAGTTTAAGTGGTTTACCAACAAATCTACAACCACAAAAAATAGCAATTTCCATGTAGGCATTTCGTTTTTGTTTAGGAGATAGAACTATAGTAAATTTAGTTGTGTGTTATGTTTCTTCGAAGATGTTTATGTTTCTATTAAGATGGTTTGGGATAGAGTGGGGGACACTGCACGTACTTCATTTTAAAAATTCCAACTAAAGGGTGTATGGCTAGTTTAACTTAATGGATTGTTTTAGTGTGGTCACCGAAAAATAAAATAATTTAATGATTTTAGTGTAATAATTGATATCGATAAACAAACCTCCTGTGCCAACAGCCTGTAAATCCCATAGATATCAGCAAGACGCGGTGACAATCCACTGAGATGCTCCTTGAAGAAAGTAATGTGATGTGCAAGGTTTTCCCTACTTATTTGTTGCCCGAGAGCGATGATATCGAACAGGCTGTGCGTCGTTGCAGCATCAAATATGCGTTTCCTTGCATCCAAAAAGTTATCACCATTTTCGTCATTCTTGTTTAACAATTTATTGAACCATATCGGAGTCGTTCTTTCAAAAGAGCTAGACAAGTAAGAATAAGTATATTTATTGTTAAAAACATTGATTTCACTGATCTTGAATTATGTATAATTCTGTACACTTCGGCCTGACCTAGGCCGGGAATCTATATAGGCTCATCACAACAGGTGTTGGAGATTTCCTGGCCTAGGCCAGGCCGAAATGCGTTTCAACTACAAAAATTTAGTCCAAAGCCTGCAGGCCAAGGCCAAGCTTAGGCTCGTAGTGTAAACACGGCTCTACTAGTTAGTTTTTTCAAGTAAAAGGGCTGAAATGCGCGATAAAAACCTGAAGGCTGAACAGTGCCTTTAAATGTTCTCTATCAAAATGATTTGGACAGACTAGTTGTTTTCTACCCGAACTTTCAGATTTAAGGAATATAATCTGCATCTAGGTATTTTTTGGACCCGTTTTCCTCGTTATTTTACCCGGGAAATTATCCCGATTTTGTCGGAAACAGCAAGTACATTTTGATTCAGTAACTACATAAATTCTGAGAGTTATTGTGAGAACTACAACGTATTTGTATGTTGTACAGTTGCGACATATAACCAACATCTTCCCAAATGAGTCAAAGGCAAGTCAGTCTTTAAATAGAATTGTATGTAGATTTTAGTAATCCAAATCACATACCGCAAATCATCATCAAGTTTAAAATTCACAGTTAGAAGGAAAGTTGTCAGCGGTTTTTCACTTCCACGCTCTTGGGTTTGGTTACCAATTCCTTCAAAAACGGACACTAGCGGCGTTCGTAAGATAGATGGATGTGTTGGGTCATCCCAAGCAAGCGGAATCGACGATCGCGTAAGATCTGAAACAACAAACTGCCCCGATGACTGGGATACCATTTGCATTCCAATCAAGTTGCTAATCACCTTGAGAGCCGTCGACTTTCCACTTGAAGTGTCACCAACTGCAGTCGACACAGGGCAGCAACCTGGAAACAGTGGAAAGAATAACGCAATAAATGTAGTAGATTTAAAGCAGTAATCCAGAAATCAGTGAACATGAATAGAAATTTTTCCACTCAACCACGTTGAGCTGTGTCCTTCACAATTCAGCTTAGCTCTCAAAGATAGGATAATGAGACCACCCCCCCCCCCCGACCTAATGAAATGAGAATTTATTCCCCAGACGGGATGTGGCTTAATTTGTTGCTTAAGGTGGCTCCCTTAAAATGTTTACCAAGCGTTTTCAACATTTTTATAAAATGTAGGCCAAGCCACCTAGAAGGCATTGACAAAGTAACAATCAAGAAACAAGTCCATTATAAGTACGTACCAATGTAAGACAGAATCTTCCTGTAGTGAAAAGCAGCCAAACCACCACTTAAGAAGAACAAAAACGGCATGAAGTTTTGGGAAAAAAAAGGCTTTGCCAAACTGAAGAATTGGTGCCAAACTAAAGAATTGGTGCCAATCAAAGTGCTGCACCGGTAATTCCATTGGAATTTGATGAGGGTGGGCTTGTAGGTAGTGCTTCACCATCTTGTCGCTTAGTGCTGCTGGAATGAGTCAAAGATATGGAACCATCCAAATATATTTCCACCGTTCCTCGGGGATCACACCATTCTTATCAATCTGTATTGTACAGTAAGAGTTTTGAAATTAATTACTAATTACCGTACGTTCAGCTCTCATATATATTTCAGTGCGCGAAACATAACAAATAACCTGCATATTTACCTGAGTTGTTTCATTCAGTAGATATGTTGAGGAATCAAAATCGTCCCTCTTCTTACGAGGGTCATCCTCCTCTACAAATTCATCGTCGTTGTCAATGAATTCGTCATCATCATCAACTAGCCGATAATTAACATGGCGGCCAATTATCAGTGTTCCTCTTCGTGTCGTCCCTTTGGTAGCAATAAATTCTTGCAACATTGTCATAACATATGTGCTGAAATGCTCATCGCTACAGCTTTGCCAATAGACGCCGCCCTTATCGCTAAATGTACGGTTCAGTGCAGCCTTAAACTTCTTCGGAGCATCCATTTCGTCGCATAAAACAAAGCATTTCCTGCAATTAAAGTTATATAAAGTAGAGAAACGTAATTTTTTTAGAACCACTGAGTACTTTAATAAAATACAAAACAAGTGAAACTCCAAAAATCGATAACATTTTTATTTATGTACGTTTCGACTATATTTCATAACATTTTTATTTATCTACGTTTCGACTATATTTCATAACATTTTTATTTATCTACGTTTCGACTATATTTCAAATATAGTCGAAACGTAGATAAATAAAAATGTTATCGATTTTTGGACTGAGTTTCACTTGTTTTGTATTGTAAAGAAACGTGTTTAATTGGGTACATTTCATCCAATAGTTATTCTAACCAATAACATCTCCAATTAACTCCAAACAATTCTTGTTAATATGCTCCGTGTTTTGGTTATCTTTAGTAAGGTGTCGAATTTTGGAGGGCGGCGCTGATAGAGGTTGAGAACATTTTAATTTGATGTGAGTCAATGGAAGATAAATATATACAGGGTGTATAAAAAAACTGAACAGATTTGAGATTGCTCTCAATTACGCAGTATATGCGAAATTATGCGGTTCAGTTTTTAACATGGAGATTGTAAATAACACTATATATATATATATATATATATATATATATATATATATATATATATATATATATATATATATATATATATATATATATATATATTTATATCTTAAAATTAATTATTGCTACTCAAGTTTCACGCCTTATTCAAGACGATCTTCAGGCAATCCAGATTGCCTGAAGATCGTCTTGAATAAGGCGTGAAACTTGAGTAGCAATAATTAATTTTAAGATATAAATATATCTTGCTCTACTTTTGTATTAGTGTTGAGCACTTTATTATCTACTACAACAAAACAAATTATATATATATATATATATAAGAGTATCACACTTTAAATATGCTTTTCCGTATAAATCGCAACAGATGTGACAAATAGTTGTCATATTTGATGTCATTGTTACGATAGCACGCGTGCTTTAAAAATTTTTTTCAACAACGCCGCTTATTTTGGGCATTGTATAACTTTTAGATACGCTCGATTTTGCTAATTGTCTCTTCGAAATAAATGCAAATTACATTATTTGATATGTCGGGCATATTATGCATATAACCTAGCTCGCATATGATTTTTTGAAGAAAAGTTAAAGACCGTTGAGGCCGACTCACAAATGAGATCAAATGCAAATGCAAAGAAACAGAAAGAATTAGAGCAGTTTGCAGTTGTTTTTGCAAACAAGCACCGTGCAAATTTTGCCATTTGTCCTAGCGTGCAGCCAAATGTTTTGGAAAAAAACCTTTTTATACATGTACTTAGTGATTTAAAACAAGAGCACACTGCCTTACCATATAATAAATAACTTTATGTTTACCCGGGCAGTCTCGGGCAGTAATTAGTAGGACCATTATTATTAAGTTTAATATACACCCTTGACAAAGGTCTAGAAAAGTGCCAAATTATTACTGTATAT